TCAAAACACCAGGGACGTCACCCTTGGCGCGCAAGGGGAAGACCGTGGTGTAGCGCGAGTAGTCGTCAACAACTATCAGGAAGTACCTCTCCTGACCCTGACCACGGACGCGGGCTGGGCCCCACACGTCCATGTGGAGCGTCTGCAAGGGAGCAGTCGTCGGGGGAAAGGAGGAGGAGTGAGGAGCGGCGCGCTGCCGCCCCTCGACACAGGGAATGCAGTCAGGAGCAGGGGAGTCGGGAAGGGGAGGGAGCACCCTGGGAAGACCAGCAACAAGGTCCCGTTTGTGCATGGCCCGAAGGCGCTGCACAGACGGGTGACCAAGGCGGTGGTGCCAGAGGACAGTCTCATGCGCCAGAGAGCGACATGAGCAGGGGGCGGACAGCTGACCTGACGCAGACGCAGACGCAGCTACCTGAGGGGACTCAGTGGTCAGTGTGTACAGGTCCGACCCCGGCTCCCGAGTGAAAGTAGCCAGGTGGCGGCCCGTCCGAGCACACGTGCAATGTGTCACACGCTCGTAGGCAGGGGTGAACTGGTGAACACCCCCGTCCTGCAGAGCACAGCCCGCCACCAAGTTCGTAGAGAACGAGGGGAGGTAGAGACCTGAGAGCGTGCCGGACGGAACCGCTGGACACGGAAGTGTAGTGGAGGAGGTCGCAATGACCGGACCCCCTGAGGGGTCAGCAAGAGAGACAGCAATCGGCTGAGCTAGTGGCTCAAGGACAGTGCGGTCACGAAAGAAAGAGCGAGAAGCACCTGAGTCCAGTGTGAAGGTGTGCAGTGCTGCAGTCGACTCAGTACCAGGGGGCACAGACGCACTAGCACCTAGGGCAGCTGCTGCAGCAGGACCTGTGGGAGCAGACACACTAGCACCTAGAGCAGCAGCTGGGCTGGCCTGAATGCCCGGGTCGGGCGGAACACGCAAGTACTGAGCACCCTCTCCACTAATAGACATTGCATACATGGCAGTGAGAATAGCATCAAAGTCTAGAGCCCAGATATCAACACCCCTCTTTTCCAGATCAGCCCAGCGCGGCAGCTCAGTGGCGTCAGGAAACTGGGTGCGCCACGCGTCGTTGAGGCGCGCGAAGCAGCGCTGCGTCTGGTGCGCCCTCCCACACGTCTGGCCAGTGCGGTCGCCTGTGCGAATAACGTACGTGCAGGTAAAGCCGCGCTGCGCATACCACTCACGGGCGGCCTGAAGCGTCGGGGCAGGCTGCTGACTCTGGCCTCCGCCCGTGCCTCCACGACCACCACCTCCTCCGCCTCCGCCCCGGCCACCTCCACCCCTGCCGCTGCCACGACCACCTCCGCCTCCGCCGCCGCCTCCGCCCCTGCCACCACTCCCACCGCTGCTGTCACCTCCCCCACTGCCGCCACTAGCCTCCCCAGTCGCGCCTCCACCGCCACCACCTCCACCCCCGCCTCCTCCGCCGCCACCCCCACCCCTGCCCCCCTTGCTCCTGCGGCGCCCGCCCGAAGCAGACGCAGTCCCGACCTTCTCAGCACCAAGGAGGTCGACAGCAGCAGCAGAGGCGACAGAGGGGAGGAGGGGGGAAGGGGAACACCCCTCAAAGAAGGGGCCGCGAGGGTCGCCACGAGAGGTGCCTACAGCGACGATACTGGCCTCAGCTGCAAGCAGTTCCTTCTCGAGGAGGGCTACGGTGAGCTCGGTGGGGGAGCGAGAGAGGAAGTGGTCCCTGACTGCGCGCAGAGAGTCAGGGAGGCGAGTGACGATGTGGTAGAGAGTGATCCAGAGCGGGGGGGGGTTGCTAGCGAGGAACTCGTCAGGCATGGCAGCGCGAAAGCGGGCCTCACTAGTCTTAAGGTGGGTGATGAGGTCTGCGACAGTGTGAAAGGAGGCCAGGTCGGGGAACAGGTAGGGGAGAGTGAGGCGGCCTAGCGTGGCAGAAGCGGGTGAGGAGTAGCGGGCAACGACAGCGGTGTACAGTTCCTTAGCAGTCTTGCACTGGCCGAAGTGCTCGCGCTCATCTAGCGGCAGGGAGTTGCGTATGGCGAAGCGAGCGTGCGCGTCACGGGTCTGCCACTGTGAGCGCTCAGTGGGGGGAGCAGTAGTAAGAGGGGCAGTAGCGTGGCCGAGAGCATGGTCGTACAGAGAAATATCCTCCTTGGCCGTGAGCTGTAGGAACAGGTGCAGGTCATCGAGCCAGGTTTCGAACTTCACTGGACGGCCCTCGTTGTCGAAAGCTAGAACGGGAGGGCTAGCCATAGCGATAGTAGCAGTAGCAGCAGTAGTAGACAGAGTAGGGCCGCTGTAGCTGTAAAGACGCACTAGCAGGAGTCGCAGGGGCGCACGGGCTGCGGTGGTAGGCCGGCAGTAGCGGCGTGCGGTGGCGGCTGCAGGTGCGGACAGTCAGTAGCGGCGGGCCGGCAGCGAGGGCGTGCGGCGGCGGCTGCGGGTGCGCACGGGCGGCAGCGGCGGGCCGGCAGGCGAGGGCGTGCGGCGGCAGCTGCGGGTGCGCACGGGCGGCAGCGGCGGGCCGACAGGCGAGGGCGTGCGGCGGCGGCTGCGGGTGCGCACGGGCGGCAGCGGCGGGCCGGCAGCGGGTGCGTGCGGCGGCGGCTGCGGGTGCGCACGAGCGGCAGCGGCGGGCCGGCAGCAGGCTGCGTGCGGGCCGCGCAAGCAGCGCGCGGGCCGGCAGCGGGTAGCGGGCGGTTCGCGGGCGGCGTGCAGGCCGCGCGGGCGGTTCGCGGGCGGTTCGCGGGCGGTTCGCGGGCGGTTCGCGGGCGGTTCGCGGGCGGTTCGCGGGCGGCGCGCAGGCCGCGCGGGCGGTTCGCGGGCGGTTCGCGGGCGGTTCGCTAGAGGGCCAACGGGGCCGGTAGGTGCGATCGCAATCGACGGGGCCAGCAGGGCCGGGAAAAAAAAAGGTAACGCTCGCGAGGGCGCTACGGGGGAGACGCTAAGAACGCGCTCCGGTAGGTAGGTAGGTAGGTAGGTATCGTACGGTGGGCCCTAAGAACAGTCCTAGCGAAGGACCTGCTCTGAAACCATGTCAGAATAACTGAGCAGGAATGAAATGAACTAGCACAGAGTTTGGTACAAGTAGGAAACCCTAACTTTGTGTACCCCCTAAGGTGTAACCCACTACAGCCTACACAATATAAACATACAATGTTTGACATGCTGCGCCAGTCGCCTGTGGGTCTGTTGCTCCTGCCGCTCCTCGTAGCCGCGGAGCCTGATACCCCCGTAGTCCGGTGCCCTCGTGCGCGCGGTAGCCACTGTGTGCGCCGCTCCTGGAGCCCGTGTGTCTGCTGCTTCACCCGTCACCTCCAATCTCCACTTCTCTCACTGTTTCCTTCTCCACCTCACCTCGCCTCTTCTTCTGCTGTGCCCCGCAAGGTGTACCACTGCAAAGGGTATTCTGCTCAATGGCTATTCCTATATGCACTTAGGGGGTGTGTCAGAACATATCTTCTCTATATATTTTGTATAAGTGCATGTAGTTCTAGCTGTAGAGTAGTTATCTAATGTTCTGTGTGGTGGTACACCACTCCATGCTTGTTCTCTCCTATTTGTACTTGCTCTGCCATAGTCAACACCATCACTCTTCTCTTCCAACTTGGTACAACCCTAAGCTCCCCCCTTGGCCTAGACTCCTAAGCCTAGGCCCTATCTAAACCTTAGCTATCACTCTGCCTACGATTCTCACAAAAGCGGCCGGCGCCTAGGGTAATCAGGGCGTTTTACCCTGATATTTTGGGGCCTGTCTGTGCCTATAATCATTTTAAGACCCCCCTTTTCTGTTTACAGCTGTTGAAAATGAATATGCGCGTCAGCTTTTAGAGGCACAGAATCCTAATTCTGACACGTCATTTGTGTCAGACTCGATTTCTGACACACTAACCGCGTCAGATACAAAATCTGACGCTTCTGACGAGCCGCGTGCGCGAAATTGTTTTTCGCTTCGAACATAAGACCCCCTCCCCTCCAAATTCAAATGTACACCTCTAAATCACATAAATGTACTTGATTATTAAGTGTACCTGGGACCAGGCCCTCAGAAGTCAGACTTTTTTGCATGAAAAAACTCTCAGAATTCAGATTTTTTTTTTTTTAGAGTGAACTCTGTTAAAATCAGAGATTTTAGGGCCCCAACTCTGTAATTTTCAGAAAACTGTTGAGGCTAACTCTGAAATTTCAGAGTTTTCCAGGAGTGTACTCTGATCATTCAGAGTACAAACACGTTCTTGACTGCTGATTCGGACTTCACAGGTCACAGCAGATTTGCACTGTCAACGCAAAATCGCCTTGTCACAGCAAATCCGCGCCTTACAGCACAAAATTTCGTCTAATCATACGGTAGCAAAATCGCCCTGACACAACAGATTTGCGCCGTCAGAGCACAACAATTTCGCCCAATCACAAAAAATTCGCGTCCACCTGACATTGCAGATTCGCCCTTTCACACCACAAGATTCGCCCTGACACTAGATTCGCCCAATCACCACACGATTCGCCCAATCACCACAAGATTCGCCCTGACACAAGATTCGCGTCTGACATTGCAGATTTGCCGTCAGAGCATGTTCTCCCGAAAATCCCCTTAGTCTAGCATGTTTCGGTATCAGATGAATGAAACATTGAATACATTTCTGATGAACATTGAATACATTGATTTCGAATGTTCAGACACTTTTTTTTCAGACACTCTGAAATTTCAGCTTTTTTTTTTTTTTTTTTTTTATACCAACTCTGAGAGTTTCAGACTAAAACTGTGAACTAGTCTAACGAATCAGACAGGCCAAAAACTAATCTGAGGGCCTGCCCGGGACTCTTACAACTCGTGCCGATTAAATGTTCACCCTAGTCATTTTGCCTCTATTTTAGGAAAGTCCCCCGGGTCTTATCCCCGGGAGAATACGGTATTAAAAACCTCTCAAAAAAAAGGGCCACATAACTACACAACCACAGGACAGCTTACCCTGGGGGTACGTTTCCTAGCTGTGGTGGATTGACGTTTGTGCGAAGTCCATCAACTTGGCCTCTTCTCCAACCAGCTGCCCATGCCGTTCATAAATGAGCCAAGACTCATGGTGGAGGTCTGTGAGATTGTGCCAGTCCCTGCAGAGGAGTCCGAGGGGATTTCCTTCACTTCTTTACTTGCGTCCTCCATGACTTCCTCCTTGTCCGAGCAGTGCTTGTCCATGAGCGCTGTGAGGCGGTACGCAATGTCCTTCATGTCGGGCCTACGCGCACCTGGCGACTTGATGCAGTCCAGAGCCAGGTCTACAATGGCAAGAACGGCTTCCTCTGTTGCGTCTAGCTTGCTGTCCTTCATGCCAATGACCTGGTAGTCCTCCACCATCTTTGTTGCCTGGAATGAGTCAAAGCAGCACAAAGGGGGTAATGAGAACGAGAGGGTAATGCTAGTGCGAGAAGGAATGAGAAGAACTCACAATATAGCCGATGAGTTTTGCGCAATCTTGCCCGTGTGAATTGCATGACATTGCCCATGCGTTTTGCGTACCCATGTTCGTATGTGTGTCTCTTCAACCCGAGGGGGCTTGCCAGTCACCAGTGCCAGAAGCACAATGCCGAAGCTGCAAGGAAAAGAGCAGTTGTGGGCTAAGTTCAAGCTGCAAGACAGTCCTGATGCAAACAACCTTCATGTGGCTCATGTGGACGATACGTGTTTTGAGTCGACTCAAAACACCTTGATGTGGCTCATGTGGAAGATAACAATCAGATAGCAGCTGTGCAAGCGACAACAGAACACAGGAGCAATCCAACCTGAAGACATCGCTCTTGGTGGTAACCACGCGTGTGCGGTTGTAATCAGGGTCCACATATCCAGGAGTGCCAGCCACTCTGGTCTGATTATCCTCCCCGTGGGTGAGGCGCTTGAGCAGCCCAAAGTCGGCGACCTTGGCGTGCATGTCGGCCGTCACAAGGATGTTGGCGGGCTTGATGTCGCGGTGGATGATGGGCGTCGCAAACCCATGCAGGTATGCCAGCCCCTCCGCTGCTCCTTGCGCCACTCGCAGTCGCTGCCGCAGGGAGAGAGGGTCTGCAAGAGGTAGTCACAGAAAGGAAAGGAATGCATAGAGGAGGGGGTGCTTCAGATGATGGGTGTGTCGCATTGAAGCCATGCAAGTACGCAAGGTCGTACGTAACCCCTTCTGTCAGCCGTAGCCGCCGGGGGAGTTTGAAAGAGTCTGCAATGGAGGGAGGACCACGAGATGAGCACGGATATCTGTGGACCCTTTCATCACATTGCCCACCACCAGATGAGCAATGCCCTTGCTTGCTCGCACAGCAAAACTCTCTACGATGACTGCCTGGCTGGGTCACCACTATGGGAGTGTTGCCACCTTGTAACGTAACGCTCATGCTGTGACTCACTCACTCTCGCTCTTGTAAATGTGGTGCTGCAAGTCTCTGTTATCCACAAACTCGTACACGAGGATCTGCTCCTGCTTGCCCGTCTCCACGTTCTGATCCTGGCAGAAGCCCAGCAGGCGCACCAGATTCACATGGTGGAGCGACGCCATGGCCCTCACCTGCACGTGATGCATTCACAACACAACTGCCAAGTGCTTTCCGAGAATTCTCAACCGCCTGGTCTGCCAAGCAATTTCTGTTTCCGGGCATCGCATCTGCAGGTGTTGTCATCAGCGACAAAGCTAGATATCAGCGTTGGCTTAACATAGTCTGACTCGGTAAGGGGTCAACAGCCGGGAAAGGATCAACAGCCGCTAAGAACACATGGATAAGAAAGCAAAGTCAATGATACGCGGACTAGGGTCTCTCTCACCTCCATTTCAAAGTCGTTGGTCATGACAGTGGAGCGCTTGATGGCCCACGTCTGCCCCTGTGGCGAGTACCCCTTGAACACCACGCCAAAGGCTCCCTTGCCCAGCACGTTCTCCTTGGCCCAGTTGTCTGTGGCCTTCACCATCTGCTGCAGCGTGTATTGCTCACACACGTCTAGCCCCTCCCACTTCCCTGCATGTACACACAGATTGTGAAAAGGGAGGTGAGTGGTGAAAGTCCCAGCTGCAGGAATTGAACAGAGGAATTGGGGGAGTGAGAATAGGCACAGGAAAGCACCAGACGTTGGGGTGGGGGTCTCACTTGGTCCGCGGGGCCGGAGCAGGCATGTGAGGACAGCAGCGAGCAGAACGAAGCCACCAAAGCAGCCCACCGCAATGCCCACTATGGCGCCCGTGGAGAGCGAGGACACTGCGGAGGGGTGGTGGAGCAACGTGGGGTGGGGGTCGAAGAGAGAGGAGGAGACGAGAGCAATGATGGGTACAGTACGCTGTGTGGCGGCAAGCAGTTAATTAGCAATGGCACATGTGGAGTTGTAAAGCCATGGATAGAGTACAAAAGCCATTGATTGGAGTGAGGTAGAGATACACATTGGAGTGGAGTAAAGTTATGCTCTTACACATTGTGCTCTTACACATTGTGCTCTTACACATTGTGCTCTTACACATTGTGCTCTTACACATTGTGCTCTTACACATTGTGCTCTTACCACTGGATCCAGTTTTGACAACGGCGCAGGTAGAACCGTTGGCTGAGTCGAGGGCAGAGTAGCCGGCACGGCAGAGGCAGGTGAAGTTGAAGGGGAAGGTGGGGGCAGGCAGCACGCACTCCCCATGGCCGTCACACGGGCCGTTGTCCGTGATGCTGCAGAACGCCTGGCAGGCTGCCGTGCTGCGCTGGGTGGCGTTGGCCGAGCACTCCGCGTCCGCACTGACCGTCAGGCAGTTGCCCGCCACACTCACCCTCGCTCCCTTGCCCGCCCCCTCCACTGAGTAATCCCTTGTCCCGGATATGCCATCGACACACTTCCCAGCTGCCCTGCCGCTACTGAGGTCCCCCAGGACGAGGTTGTTGGGCTCGGTGATCTCAGTGGGGCAGACCTGGCAGCCGGCAGCAAAGAGCACGGCATCGCCGAAGAAGAAGTTGTGAGCCAAGTTGATGAGCGCACCGTCGTCCACCACCATGCTCTTGAAGTTGCGGTTGATGCGCCCGTACAGGCTGTTGTTGCTCACATCGCTGGGGGGAGCAGGGGGGTTAAGGAGGAGAGGAGCAGCAGCCAAAGGTTGGTGCTTGGTGCTTTGATCCGTGAGTGTGCAGGTGCAAGGATATGGTGGCGAGACGAATACGTAAATGGAGTGTGAGTGTAATACCGGTCGTGCCTAGTGTCAAGCCCTCTTGCTGGTGCAAGTGTTTGCGTGGTACGGTGCAATGCAGGTGAGAGGATGTGCCTGAGTACTTCAGTAGTTTTTGTGTGTGTGGAGCAGCAGTGGGGAGCGAGAAGGAGGGTTAGGTTAGCGTACAGTTGGTTGACACACTTGTCGAAGATGCACTCTGGCAGGGGACCATAGAGGTAGTTTTTGCTCATCATGCTGCCATCACACGGCACACAGCACAGAGCGCACAGCACGCAACACACAGCATGCAGCACACAGCATGCAGCACACAACATGCAGCACACAGCATGCAGCACACAGCATGCAGAACACAGCATGCAGCACACAGCACGCAGCACACAGCATGCAGCACACAGCATGCAGCACACAGCATGCAGCACACAGCATGCAGCACACAGCACGCAGCACACAGCATGCAGCACACAGCATGCAGCACACAGCACGCAGCACACAGCACGCAGCACACAGCACGCAGCACACAGCACGCAGCACACAGCATGCAGCACACAGCACGCAGCAAAGTGGATATCACGCGACGGAAAATACTCTGAACGACTCATCAAGGAAAACAATCTGAAACCCTAGTACAGCAGTGAAGCTGCTTCAAGAGATGCGATGCAAATGTTGCAGAGGCCATAAGAGAAGCAGAGTGGGGGGAATGACTCACATGCGCCACAGGCGGCCAGGGGAGCAGATGGCAGGGGGCACAAGACCCTCAATGCTGTTGTTGTCCAACCAGCTGCCGCAGGAAGAGTAGAGAGCATGGGGAGCCGCAAGCATGAAGATTAGAGAGCATGGTGAGTAGAGAGCATGGAAGAAGAGAGCATGGAGAGGAAATGAGAGAGAGCATAGGGTGAGAGAGAACAGGGAGAGCCAAAGGAGTAGCGGAGGGAGCCTTGGGGTCATGTCACCCAGACCAGATGCACGCAGAGGGCTTATTCAACTATTGTTGGGCAGGCCAGGATGGTACAAGCGAATAGATGGGGAGAAGCACGGATGAAGTGAAGCAAGGACAACAGGACAGACAGAGAGTGCGTGCGAAAGGGATGGTGGGAAGCGGAAGAGATGAAAGAGAATGGCAGGTTCGGGCGGCAAGGGCGCTCACAGCTGCTCAAGCTTCTCCAGGCGACTGATGGCAGCCGGCAGACTGCCAGTCAGACGGTTGTTGGCCAGATAGCTGCAGGGATGGCGGCAGGGGAGACGGAAGCCATTGCTGCGGGCACTGAGGGTTGGCGGATAGAGGCGCCCTGATGTGAGCAGTGGCGTGATGGCGAGCAGAGAGAGGAGAAAAAGCAGCGAGTCACTAATATAGACTCTCTGAACCACGAGGGTTGACTCCGCAGGACCAATATAGATTGTCGAAAGTGCTGCTTAGGTACTGGTGGCCCACAGGGAGAACAGGTTGGTCATGTTGAAGATGGCTGATGAAATGGACCCGGTGAGCTGGTTGTTGTTGAGTACGCTGCATGGGGGGTGTGTGTGTGGGGGGGGGGGGATGGTATGGGAGTACAGGGAGCGCTGTGATGTGATGGTTGATAGCAAGGATAGAAATGGCAGAATCGTATACGTCGTCTCAAAGCTAGTCGTGTACACTGAGATGAGTCAATTTATTAGTCGACTCAAAAGTCGACTTATCAAAGCAGTCGTGTACACTGAGATGGTAGATGAGTATGGATGGTGACGGTATGTATGTGTCATGTACGAATTGAGATGGCCGCGGATAATGATGTGGTAGGTTGGTTTAAATTTGCAGAACAGCACACACATGTAAGCAGCGGTGCCACAGAACAGAAGTGAGCAGCAGCGGTGCCACACAGAGACACATACATGGCCTTCAAGCTGGAGAGGGTGGAGATGGAGTCAGGAATGGACCCCGTGAAGTTGTTGTGGTTGAGAGCCCTGCATCAAGCACACGCACACACACATGGCCAACGGCGGTACAGCAGATACATGAGAAACAAACAACTCACAGGTGGGTGGATGAAGTGGGCTAGGCTAGGCTGTTGCTTGATGCACAAGGCCAGGCACGGCTCCAGGCATGTGATGTGAACACATGCAGATGCATCAGCCAGCGCAAAGAGCGAGACATACAGAGACACCCATGATGGATGCTGCTACACTGCAGAACCTCCGCAGCACACTGGAAAGGGGGCGGGTCGCTGTAGAGAGTATGGGCTGATGTAGGCTGCATCGCTGCCTTGCCTCACCTGATTGTGTTGCCCCTTGTGTGTATTTGGTACCATGACTAAGCGAAGGACTGATGAACAAAGAGGAAGGGGGAGAGTGAAACACACGCACAGGTTCTCAAGGCTGACACTCCAGAGCGAAAAGTCGGGCAAAGGACCCGTGAAGCCGTTTCCTGGCAAGCTACTGCACAGCGCACGCACACAAGGGGCAGAGCATGAGACAGAAGAGATGGGATGGTTATGCTAGGTTGCCGCATGTGATGTGAGAGAGTGGATCAGCCGGTGCAGAGCAGAAAAAAAAAAGAAAGAAAAAAAAATGGAAGGAACAAATTGTACCAGCATGTGGCAGCAGCACGCACAGTGTTTTAAGAGAGGATGAGGCACGCAGAGACGCTGGAAGGCCCCCCGAGAGGAAGTTGTTGGCCACTTGCCTGCAGCAGAGGGGTGAGGAGGGGAGGAGGGAAAGAATGAGCGGTGGCAAATGTAAATTATTCAACGGATCACACCGCACTAGAGGAGAATTGTTTGTGTTTTCACTCAGAAGCACGCAGCCGGTGGTTGGAGAACGAGAGGGAGAGTGAGGAGGAGCAAGTTACATTACATACAGTGAGTCGAGCATGGAGAGCTGAAAGAGGCGGGGAGAAATCTTTCCGTGGAACTTGTTGTTGTTCAAGTTGCTGCCACGTGAGCAGGAGACCAGGCAGCAAGAGGACAAGAAGTAATATGTGCTGAACATCAACTTTAACCTCTTTGCTTCCAGCAAGTGTCTGTACGCTGGACACGAAACAGCCTGTTTTGAGTCGACTCAGAAGTAGCCTCAACTGAACCTGCAACAGAATGTCTGGAAGCTGGAAACAATACTTAAAACCTTCCACAGAGTCATCCCAGTCCTCATCTCCTTGCCCCACTTATGGATCGACTATCACTTCCTTCTCCTTAATCCCTTAGTTTCGTGGATTAGGAGTACTGCCCCAGTCCAAACACACATCACCCCACCGCACGACTCAACCAAACCTTTTTCCCTTTCTCTGCATTGGGTTGAATCCAGGAGCAAACACGATGGGGTCCTTTCCCACACCTGGCAAATAGGCAAATTCCCATGCGGATCCACTTGCCGCGACTCACATGTCTATTAGCTGGACAAGCTTCGTAAGGCGCTTGGGAATGGACCCACTGAATCTGTTGTTGCTCAGGTCCCTGCCATCGCCATGCCATTGGAAACTGTCAGTTACAAAATAGTTCACACATATGTACATATGCCCTTCAAGTGGCGATTCTTGCATGGCTGTACTGTGTTTGGTCCATACATTTGAGCGCTGAAGAGCCCCTCGGCCGGCCCTTCAGCTGCTTACATCAAAACATCCAGCTGCTTACATCAAAACAAGGCCTCAGCCTTCCAGCTGCTTACATTAAAACAAGGCTTGTCAGTTCTAACAGAGGTTCGGGGAACGATCCTGAGAAGTGGTTGTTGGCAATGCTTCTGGCGGCACAGGGCAGAACAATGGTGTTGAAAGAGTGGACAACTGATATATGCATGACACTCAAACACTTAGAATGTTGGCACAGGTATGTGCATGCACATGAAGGAACATATGCATCCGAGATGGGTAGGTCATTCACTTCACTTGTCGATGATTGGAAAACCCCCGTGCACGCAATCCATAGTGCCCCATACATGGTGCCATTGAATAAGACGAAACGAGCCCAGCCCACGCCTTTTGAGCACGGTTCATGCAAGGTCTCATGGAACAGCATGCAACACAAGGATCACACCACCAGAACAACGTATCTAGTGTAGTATAGTTGGTTATGAAAGAGAGCAGTGGAATTTGTTGGTGGCTGCACTTGTGAGCAAACAAGCATTGGCTTGGCGAATCAATGTGTGCATGCATGGCAGGTGGGGAGCATGGCAGGTGGGGAGCATGGCAGGTGGGTGGGGCATGTCTTTCACATGGACGAGAGGCCTTTGATCGCTGAGAATGTCATTGGCAGCACTCCGGAGAAGTTGTTGCTATGGAGCACTCTGCATGGATGGCGCAGGGAGCGGATGAGATGTGCAGAGAAATGTCACGGGCTCACTGCAGGTTGAGCAGGGTGCAAGGAGGAGGAAGCAGGCGGGCCAAGGTTGAGACTGAGAGAACAGAGAAGGAGCAGAGACCACAGGAGCAGAGAGCACAGGAGCAGAGAGCACAGGAGCAGAGAGCACCGGAGCAGGAGAGCACAGGAGCAGAGAGCACAGGAGCAGAGAGCACAGGAGCAGAGATCACAGGAGCAGAGAGCACAGGAGCAGAGAGCACAGGAACAGAGAGCACAGGAGCAGAGAGCACAGGAGCAGAGAGCACAGGAGCAGAGAGCACAGGAGCAGAGAGCACAGGAGCAGAGAGCACAGGAGCAGAGAGCACAGGAGCAGAGAGCACAGGAGCAGAGAGCACTCACACGTCTGTGAGCCATGTCATCCGAGCCACCACGTCCAGGCCTGAGCTCAGGCTGTTGTTGGACACATCCCTGTGGTGTGGTGCGGTGCGGCACGGTGAGGGGTGGTCAAAGGTGGGGTGGTGTGGTGTGGTGTGGTGTGGTGCGGTGTGGTGTGGTGTTGCATAGTGAGGTGATGTGCGGGGCAATGATGGGATGGGGATTCAGGGTGACATAAAAGGCGAGCAGCCACAACCGTATCCACTGCACTGCACGCCAAGGCATTGCCGGTGCATTTGCATTTGAAAGATTCTTTGGCTGGAAAGGGTGGCATTCCAACCAACGGCAGACCCATGGGTGAATGCAGTGGACATGGGTCAGATGAGTGCGTTAGTGAGTCGTGAGTGAGTGAGTGAGTGAGTGAGTGAGTGAGTCGTCAGTGAGTGAGTGAGTGAGTGAGTGAGTGATTGAGTGAGTGAGCGAGGGGTGAGTGCCATCGAGGCATGGCAAGGATTGACAGCAAAGAAATGCATTGAAGGAGAGGGGGTCGTGCAGAGCATGGTGAGGGAAGGCGAGGGGGGCTTACAGAGCAGCCATGGCAGTGAGGCTGGTGAATGTGCTGGGGATGCCTCCTGTGAACCGATTGCTGGACAGCTGACTGCACGCACAGGAGACAGGCACAGCACCGCACCGCACCGCACAACACAGCACAGCACAGGCTAAGACACACAGCTTGACACAACAGCTGAGAATGAGAGGAGCCGGGCAACTAGGGGAGCAGAATAGCTGTACCTCACTGTCTTGCCTAGATAGAGGCACAGGCACAGGGCAGGCAGTCGGACAATAGGCCAAGGGGCAGCACAGGCAAAGGCACCAACCATGAAAGAGATGCAGCGATGAGTGCAGTGATGAGTATGTCAAGACATGACAGAGTGCAGTTGAGGAGAGGGGTGGTGATTGAGTTGAGAGTTCCCCGAAACTAGCTATGCCAGGTGAGAGGCAGAAGAACCCACAGCTGGGTCAAGCTGGGCAGTGCCAGGTGTGGTGGGATGGGCCCCTCAAAGGCGTTGTATCCAAGCAGTCTGAACAAGGGCAGGGCAGGGTGCACCGCAGGGCATATTTTTTAGTCGACTCAAAAATAGGCTGGGCAGTGCCAGGTGTGGTGGGATGGGCCCGTCAAAGGCGTTGTATCCAAGCAGTCTGGACAGAGGCAGGGCGCAGTGCAGGGCAGGGCGCAGTGCAGGGCACGGCACGCGGTGCGGGTTGGGTGGAGGCGCGCAATGAACAGATGAGCTGAGGAGGGCCGGTTGGTTGGGAGTCGGAACATTCAATCAGTGCCCTCTGAATTGAATTAGCATTGGAGGTTGCAGCAGTCATAGAGGTAGAGCGAGTTAGGGGGTAGGAGGGGAGGGATGGGAGGGGGGAGGCGGGGTTGTGGGGGAGTGGGAGGGGAGGATGTAACGAGGAGGAAGAGAAACAGAAAAACGATGGAGGCAAGGTGGTGAGGACAAGAGGCATCGGATTGGAGGGCGGAAGTAATAGGTAGGAGTAAAATGCAGAGCTGAGAAGGGATAAGAGGAGGAGGTGGAGGAGGGGGAGGAGGGGGAGGAAGGGGGGAAGTGAAGTAGTGTAGAGAGGAGGAGTGACACGCACATGGAATCCATTTGGGAGCTGAAGACAGGCGGCACTGTACCGAAGAGGTAGTTCCACGACAGGTCTCTGCGCGTGAGAGAGGCAATAGGGATCAGAAAAAAAAACAAACAAACAAACAAACAAAAACAAAAACAAAAACAGAAACAAGGGACAGGGCGAAGAGAGGAGGATGGAAAAGACAAGGGAAGGAGTTGATTGCAACTTAAGGGTCATGAAAGCAAATGTACCATGCCAATCCAGTGAACACCTAGGCATTTGCCGTTTCTGTTATTACTTGTGTTCGGGGTTTGAGAGGGATGCGTGTGAGGGTGGAAGCACATGAATCAAGTGGCTGTGGCAGGCACTGTGGCACTGTGGCAGTGTGGCAGTGTGGCACTGTGGCAGTGTGGCAGTGTGGCACTGTGGCACTGTGGCACTGTGGCACTGTGGCACTGTGGCAGTGTGGCAGTGTGGCACTGTGGCAGTGTGGCAGTGTGGCACTGTGGCAGTGTGGCAGTGTGGCACTGTGGCACTGTGGCAGTGTGGCACTGTGGCAGTGTGGCAGTGTGGCACTGTGGCACTGTGGGTCAAGATTGGGTGTGATGTGATGTGATGTGATGTGATCAGGTCATGTCAAGATTCTCTGGTAAGGCTTCATGCTGGTGAGAGCCATGCATGCCTTGGGTTGGGTGGGGTGGGGTGGGGTGGAGTTGATTGCAAGGAGCGTGGGCGTACAGTGCAGTGAGGGCTGTGAGGGCAGAGAACGTTGCCGGTATAGTGCCCTGAAGATGGTTGAACCCCAGATTGCTGCAACACGGAGAAAAAGACAACGCTCCGTGTGTATTTTCAATGTACAGAAAAGGTGTTGGGGAGTGACAGAGTGGAGTGGAGTGGAGTGGAGTGGGGTATGTAAGGGCAAGTGGGCATGCATGCATGCATGAGAGGGTGGTTCATCAAGCAGTGTGTTGAGCCTTTTCACTCTCACGACACTGCTGACTCCAACTTCTCCGATACTGTTGAGGGGAGGGGAGGGGAGGGGAGGGGAGGGGAGGGGAGGAGAGGGGGGGTAGGGGAGGCACGTGGGAAAGCGAGGTAGGTAACTTGCTCCAGAAATGAGTTTCTCCACTCCCCGAGATTCAGGAAGTTGCGATTTTCCAAAGCAACTCAGAACGGACTTACAGCTACCCCAAGACGTGAGAACTCGACGAGATGAGATGGAAACAAACTAGTTTCAGGCCTTCAACGAACACTAAATCGTATAGGCTGGTGCATAGCGGAATGAACTCAGGCTGGATGGCGGAGGAGCTGCATGGTAGCTTGGAAAGAAGGATCACAATGGCATGGTTTGTTGAAATCGCTTTTGGGAATTCTCAAAAGCGATTTCAACATGGATTACGTTGGCTTGGTTTGGCGCAAGCGAACCGGATGGGTAAACAAGGGGCCGTAGCCTTGTTTGGGGCGAGGCATCTTTTGCTAATGCCTGCAGAATGGCAGCATGGGTTGCGTTTTGAATCGACTCAAAAGTAGCTTTGTATGAGGCAAGGCATCTTTTGCTAATGCCTGCAGAATGGCAGCATGGCACAGCACAGCACAGCACAGCACAGCACAGCAGGCAGGGTCTCACAGGTCAGCCAGGTTGACCAGAGTGGACCAGCCTTTGAGCAGGGAACCTTCCAGGTTGTTACCAAACAGTGATCTGTGCATTCAAGGAGGTTGAATTGGATGGTGGCTTAAGAGAGTTATAATGAGAAGTCTTCAATCAGGGCCCATTGAGCACAGGGAAGACCCTGTGAGAGACCATATTCATGCACGCCCCTGCACCCCACTGCCCACCCCTGCACCCCACTGCCCACCCCTGCACCCCACTGCCAACCACTGCACTGCACCCATGCCGCCACTGCAACTCTCTGCACTCACAGGCGCGTGAGTGCTGTGAGCTCCGACATGTCTTCTGCCAGCAGCCCCTGTCGCCGCGGCTCGTCCGTGTTCAGGTTCCTGAGAGCGGGCAGGGAGAAGCCACAAGGCATTTGAGAGAGATACAACAGCAAGTCTCATGGGCAGTGCAGCAGCAGCACCAGGGCTGATGGGGAGCGCAGTGCAGCAACAGGGTGGGGATCTGATGGGGGGAGATGTGAGATCGGAAAGACTGAGCGTGCGGCAACAAGAGGGCATCAGGAGTCCCAAGAGACTGTGCCATGTAATTTTACTTTTGAGAATTCTCAAAAGGGCATCAGGAATCCCGAAAGACTGTTTTTGAGGCGCCTCAAAAAGCAACAAGAGAGCATCAGGAGTGGAGTTCCAAAGACTGTGCCATGCGAATGAAGTGCCTGACAAAGTAGACGCAATGCAAGAGGCCAGGCAGGCCAGCAGCTTACAGGGACTGAAGGTTGGACAGGTGGGTGACCCAGTTGGGAAATTCCACTGCACGAAGATAAGAGAGGTCGCTGCAGGGATGGCAAGGAAAGGAGTCATCAGGGAGAGGAGAGACGGGT